GTCAGATTTCCATATTTAGAAATCTTAGTTAACTAAAGAATATATAGTTATAAACATTCCATTCTGTAGGTGGAATTAAGAATAATTATATATTGATGCGATATTATCACGTGTTAGCATACCGTTGTTTTTATCCAGGTGTATTGATTTGCTATAAAATAAGATAAAAGATCTATTTAGGCAAATTAAAAACAAATTCTGCTTTTGTATAAATATGGTAGATTCTCTTATTGGATGGTTCCAGGAAATGACTAATGAACTGGTTTAAATGTTATTTTATTTAAAATTACATAAGAATAGATCTTAATTACCTAGGAGATCTAGCCAGCGTTGAAAGGGTTATTCTAACTGTTAGCAAGGGTTTTATGGCCCTTCGCTGTGAAAAGTTTCGCTTTCTCTCTGTGAAAGATACCTCATAAATCGTGTAAAGTCTTGACAGAAAATGCTGTTTAGCCATTGAAACGTGTATAGCCATTACTTTGTATTGCATACCATTTTATACTGGAAATTCATTGATTATTGTCACGCATGTTACATATTATTATTATTAATTAATTGGTTACTATAAATAAATCTATTTTTATACATTGTGATATTATTTATATGAAATACACTTCACTTACGATAACGATCTTTGGGTCTGAGAATTGAATTAGTGGGCAATTCTCACTGTTAATATTATTATCCCATAAATATCCCCACAATACACATATACGTAACTGCCCCTCTTGCACACATACATTACATGCCACACACCCCAACATAATAAGCAAAATCTTCCCACACACACAAGCCTGCATACAGACACAGTCTAACATGAATACACATATTGACATGCATGTATAGATACACGCTAACACATACACACAGTCAAACATACACAGTTACACACTCACACACTGAAACTCACTGGCAAACATATATAAACACACACTGACATGCATAGATAGACACATACTAAGATGCAATCATAGACTCACATTAACCCAGACATACACTAACACGCATACACAGATGCACACTAACATGCAATCAAAGTAACTTAAATACACATACGCAGACAACTAACATGCTTACAGTCATAGTTTGACATGCATTCACAGACACACAAACCAAAGACACATCACACAGCACTTGCTTCCTGTTTCAATGTGACTATGCAGCAGTTGTTAAAATGCTCACACACCATAGTAAACTTAAATGAATGCCCACAAAATCTGAATATACGAATGTGTTAAATTCCCCATACATAACATGCCAATCAATTTAAGGATTATGCATATTATATATGTATATTTCCCGACCATAAATTAATTTAAATGATATAATACAATGGTGATGTCATGTTTTTATTGTTTGTTAATGGCATTTATTTTAAGATTTCGCTATCCCCAAAATAAAACTATTTCAATTAAAATGATCATACCACGCTTTTAAATAGTGGTGCTTTTGTTTCTGCAGCCTAAAACCTATTTAATGCAACCCATTAATGTATATTATTTATCATAAGCATTAAACGTAAAATAGCATTATCTTGTAACTCACCAAATCTCTACTTCAAAATTTCACCAATTTCTAATCCTGTCTCTTATATATGCAATCAGCTTCCAAAAGTATTATATGTACAATGTTTTTATTCCACGCCCTTTGAAAAAAAAAACTGTCACATGGTATCCCCACATCATTTGACAAGTCTGGTTTGTGTACAGAGAGAAGTCTCACACTTAACTGACTCATAGGTCACTGGTGTTTTAACAACTGTATTTTGACAAGAATTCTGTCAGAGTTATTCACATAAAAGTAAACGCAAACACACGGGATCACTACGATGGATTCACAGAACTAGGTACGACAGATATACTTATAAAATGTACACACAGCCACAATCAATGTGATGGATACAAATAGCCGTGTACATGCAGAGATACAATACCATTCAATAAGGGAGATTCTTCACTGAAAAAGGACTTTTCATTTTGTTTGTATTTATTAAATTGTTCTAAAATTTGTTGTCTTTTCTCCTCTACAGTAAGCATATTTGAGTGGGAAGATTTTTTTTTTAGGGTCCTCTATTTTGCTTAGAAAGCTTCGGAATCCCACCCTTGCTTATTATTCTCTATACGACGAGTGATGCGAGTAAGAAGGGGTGGGAGGTCACTCAACCTGCACCTTGTCAGTTTTTTATCACCATGTTTCCCACCACATACAAGATGAACGTAAGGGAAGCTATACATTAGACACATTGTAATTTTGGAATCTGGAGATCCCTGTTCATTTTCTTTTACATTGGACCTAATGTGGGTCATCTTCGGCTTCCCCTTCTCATAGACCCTCAGTAATGTTTTTAACATATTTTATGTGTTGTTGTTTTATGTACTTTCTTTCAGTGTCTCTGAGCTTCATCACTCTTTATTGAAGCACTGAAAGGGTTCTGTTAGTTAGAGAGGACGTGAATATGCATTACAGGTTTTACTTTGAAGTTGGTTCTTGCTAGGATATCTAGGACCTGGTGGAACTATCATTGGCAGATAAAAATGGATACAGCAGTCAGCACTTTTACTGAGCATTCATAAACTTGGTAAGTTTACCAGTAGCACGGGAGTTAATGCAACTCTAAAAAAAGTAAGCCAAAAAGTAAGCCAAAAACGTATATTTTAACTCTAACAGTAAATTTAGATTAAAGCTTTTTTAGGTGAGAGTTTTTTCTGCATGCTATCTGATTTCTTTATGTTGCATACTTTTTGCATTGATATATTGTGAATTGTAGCAGAGAGCTAGTCCTAGCAAGGACCCTTCTCCGCTGGTTACTCCAAGATGCGCTCAAGAACAAGTAGAATATTCCAAGGAAACAGCCAAATAGAGAAAATACTACAAGAATCTCCCAACACCTACCCAGCAAGTGGACAACACTCAGCTCTGGGGGTATAACTGATTTTAATGGAGACACAGCTGGCCTTTTATGAGAATCCCCATGCAAGGGGTTTCCAGATACATATTCCAGGGGCATTCCTCACTGGACCTGTGAGTAGACTGAAGCAAAGTACACAATATAATTACATTACCTCTCAGGTCCAGGACATGTATAATCTTTAACACCCCAAAATATACATTTCCCCATAAGGTACCCCCTCATTTACTGTATCCCCAGATAGCCTGGGTCTGAGCACCCAATATATCCAAAAAGCGCTCAGATCCCACAAACGTAGCCGAAACGCCACTGAGGTATAGTTTAGACCGACCGCACAAGAGGCACCTACCCAAAAAGGTTCCATGAAAATAGGCTGTGCGGTCGGTCTCTTTCGGGAGTACAAAATACATTGAAAATAGCATAACAACTGTTCGTGTGTCTGTTCGTACGAATATCTAGTTCGGGAGGTTGCTCCCCCTGAACGCCACTCTGTTCGCATGAATTTCCACTAATGGAACAGAAGGTGGAAGTCCCAGCGGTGTTCGCACCATCGAGTGGATGATTTTAGTTCCATACACTCGACGATCAAACACCGCTGTCTCTGTTCGTATCCAAAGATGGCCGCCGCCACGTGTTCGCATACACGAACGGCGATCGCCCAGTCGACCGCTTGGAATGTTCATGTAGTTGTGGTTTGTGGAGGTGTGAACGGGGTTATTGGTGTTAATGAGCTGCACACTCCACATCTGGGTGGCCTGCCGTTCTGTAGTTTGTTCGGTTGTCGACCAGAACCGTACAAGCAACTCAAAGGAACGGAATTTAACAAACAGCCAGGCGAAACAGGGGAAAAGCATGGGGTTTTAATAAGAGGGAGATCTGTCTCACACAGGGACTGCAAGCCCCAAGCATAGAGAACAACGGGGAGGGGGAAAACCAGCACGGACAGCCCAGAGCATGCATGAGGGTACCGTCCCAAGGCCCATTCTGCTGCATGAATAAATAGATATGATTATTTTATTGATGATTACAAGGTTCAGTTTTGTATTATTAAGAAAGCACACATTATTTTTTAATTTATTTGTGTTTATATTGGGCTGTGGGGACATAATCCATCTTAAGCACTGTTACCTTGAGCAAGGGTATTTGCGTGTGAGTATATACCATTACCAACTTTAATATATATCAGTAACAAATCGCAGAATTAAATAATAATAGTTTTATTCTACTTCTTATTCAGGCCAATGCATTACACTTGGTTGCGGAAGAAGGCTTTGTCCCATTAGAACTCCCATCTGACTTCAATATAATTTTTATTTGCTATTTTGTATATTCTGTCAATTACAAAGTTATAAGGATACTTTGTAAGGTGTTTGCTGCCCACTTCAAATCTAAGCACTGCTTCAAATTAATTGTTTTAATTTAAATTTTTTCACATACGAAGATGCAATCATAGACTCACATTAAACCAGACATACACTAACATGCATACAATGACGCACACTAACATGCAATCAAAGTAAATTAAATACACATACACAGACACACTAACATGCTTACAGTCATAGTTTGGCATGCATTCACAGACACACATGAACCAAAGACACATCACACAGCACTTGCTTCCTGTTTCAATGTGACTATGCAGCAGTTGTTAAAACGCTCACTTTGGCATAACTGCACTGTGAGTTAATCTGCAGGTATAGGCATTAGAATTGGGCAGCACTCACAAAGGCATCCTAAGTGTGCCTCGGCACAGTGGATATCTGTGGATCTGTGGCAAGAGTCCTGCCTTAAAGGATGACACTGTAGTTTGAAATTCAAAGTGAATTCCAAACGAATTTTAAATTGTAGGCCCAAACTGAAAGCATAAATGAAAACTAAATATACCGATAACTTGGAGTATTGTTTCCAGTGTTGCTATTGTTGCCTAAAAATTTAAAATTGATTTGAATTTTAATATTTAGCATAGTTTAATGCACATTACACGTTAAATCACTGTGGAGTTTTGTGGGTTATATCTCGGATATAGAAGCACAGGAATCTGGGCCTGATGGACTGCTTTTGGAAGAAATAAAACTCTGGGAACAATATCTAAAAATATTGGGATTGAAAATGTTCTAAAAATAGAGCTATCTCAAATGAAACTAAAAATCCCTGCACATAGTTTCAATTATCGACCTTCACTCCTCTTATAAATCGCCCATACTGTGTTTATTTTGGCAAACCATGTCACTTTGCAAGTTTACTATGTTTAAAGTAGAAATATGACCTTGGATTTAATGACAATTCTTGTTTTCCTTCTCCCTAGTAGACATTGTTAAAGTGTTTTTAGGTGTGCAGCAGAGTCGTATAAAATACATGATTCCACTCTGTTGCACACTCTGGAGTTTAAAACCATCATGCTTTAAAGAGATAACTTTGAACTTGCTCTTTAGTACAAGGATCAACTTTTTTTTTTTAATTCTTTATTTGTACAATGACAGATTGTACAATAATAGTTTAACAGTTTGGTTATTGGCTTTGCGCAGAAGCCTGATGTCCAAGAGTAGATGTTCGTTGTCTGTCAGAGGTTTTTTGCTTGTTTCTAAGTATAGCAAAAACAAGTAAGTTTATATAGATGTACAAGAATACAATATAACAAGAATGTAACAAGAATAATTACAAGTGAGGTGTATTGGGAGAGGTAGCTCTTTTGGCTGCAGGTATTGCAAGCTATTTGTGTAACAGTACTCAATGTTTACGAATCACATTATTAGAAGTGTGTGCTGTTAACTCCCCGATGGGTGAAGGAGCCTGTCAGTTGCTTGGTACCGGAGGTATGTGTTTGTTTCCCGGTTCTGTCACGAATGCACCCTACTCCAAGAGTGTGCGTGATGTAGTTGTGGTGGTGAAAGGGTTAAAGCTCACCATTTGTCTGCACTAGACCGGAAATAATGACAAAATCACCCTTTCAACACCACCCACACTTAAACATAATAATATAACTATTACTATTTTAACGCTGCCACTACCAAGACAATTTATAAATGGGGTGCCTTGGTCCCCCAGGTAAATCAACAATAAAAATCCCACCAAATATTACTTATCACAACATCTATGTAGTTGCAAAAATACTAACTAGTCTCCTCAGGTAATGTGATTCTTAACCAGACAAAGGCAGAACTTAATAAATGAATGTTTATTATGAGCAAAAATAGTCACAGTGCATATAACAATATATGATAAACAAATTATTTACACCAACAACAGATAAAAACAAAACGGATAAAATACAGAAGTCCTAATTACTCACTTAGGTTTTCAAAGTACAACTTCTGTCCAGGGGGTCTCTGGCAAGGAAAGATGGTGACTCACTTAGAATTAGATTCTGACCCCCAAGCAAATACACAAGCACCCTTCAGGATCATTAGATATATACCCTGTGGTTTATCAAGTCTTGCCCAAGGGTGGAGTTAAGTCTTACCTACAGAAATAATAACTGACCACCTCCTTTGTTCCAGACCACTGTCAATCCAAATGGAAACATTTGGCTCTATCTTCTTTTTTGTACCTGCCACAGAAATAATAATTGCATCTACAAATTTATTATTCTCCCATTCCATAAATGTTTCTGTCCTTCTTTTGGATAT